GCCAGCGGCAGCTCTGTAGCCCTGGCTGTTTGCCGAGCGCGGTTCTTACGCGGCCACAGAGCAGGCCGGTACGGGCTCATCACCTCCGCCCTGCAGGGTCGCCCTGAGGGGCGAGGGCAGTTTCGGGTAGAGGTAAATTGCGTGGGCCAGGTAAAAGGGGGAGTTTGGGCTCCCTGTGAGCTGCTGTTGCAGGTGTCTGCACGAACTGCCAGAGAAGTTTGGGAGTGTTGGTGTCTACCATTTCAGAAACCACCTCTGTGCCTTAGCTGGAAGATGCGTTTTCACGTATGCTGAAGGGATCCATCCTTCTAGAACGTAGTGTCTCTCTGACAGCAGAGTTTCTATTTACTAACTTAGTGTGTCCATCTGACATAGTGTGTTAGCTAAGTGATTTCCTTTCATGGATGATTCATTCATGAAAGATGGGGTTTGGAAAGAGAAAGATGAGTGAACACCAGCGTTAAAAGCTTAAAATCGCCAGTGTCCCTGATAAATTACTCTTGAAATTGCATCTAATCACTAGTTTATTCTTCTAGAGACTTGAGTGGATTGTAGGAAGAGTCTAATAACTCATGTTGTTGTAAGGCCATGTTATTGGCCTTTATGGAGACAGCTGACATTCTATTATCCATTTTGAGGCCTGTTGCAGGTAATGGATAGCATTATATTTTTTTCAGTGTGCTCTCTATAAACAATAGCTTTTTTCACAAAGGTAAAAATAACAGCATTTTGAAAATGCTTACTACCAATATGCATATTGAAACCTGATACATTCATTTCTGTCAAAATATGCCCTAACAGATTTTAATATGTCACTTTAGTTATAAACTCAGCTTTGCAAAATGTGTAAGGAAAGGGAAAGTTAAACACTTCCACAGTGTAATCGACTTGAGAAAATGACTCAGTTTCGATTAAAGTGAATATTTTCCAGAAAAGTTTGCAGACTTCAATAGTAGCAATTAAGAGTGAAACTCAGAGTACTCTGAAAGAATTAAGAGCTTGTACTTGTTTTTCTCATCTCTGCTGAAACAGAAGCAAAGTTTATTAATAAACATAAGCACAACTAAACAAGATATTCGTAGTCCTCTAGCTTTCAGTAGTCTGTTATTAATAATACTGTTTGTGACAAAAAAAGAGCTAATCTGTTTTACTGCACCAAAAGCTGCAAATTATAGGTGATGGTACATAATCTTGCGCGTAAATAACACTTCCCTACTGCATCGTTCCTTGCTCCAGGTGCAGCTCAAATTTTTATTTGTTCTTATGTGGAAGGGTGTGTAACATAAAAGGAATTTCAGATTGAACGATCTGTGGCTATGAAATCAAACAAGAAAAACACTAGAAACTTTTATTTAGTAAAACAGTAGGGGGAGCACTTGCATAAGCTATATCCCATGATATATTTTTTTTAATTTTCACATCTAGCCTGCACTTATGATTTAAATCTTGACATACAGTGATTTGGTATGTCCCAAATTATCAGACTTGAAGCTGGTACCCCATATCATAGCATTGTCTTAAAAATATGAAATTAAAGCCAATCGACCAACTATTGGATCATTTTGTTAAGAATGCCAGTTTGCTTCACAGTCTCATATGCTTTGATTTTTCTTTAAAGTGGGAACCGTGATTCCCATACTATCTCATGCATCCAACAGCTCAGTTAAAAAAAAAAAAATATATATATATATATATACACACACACACACACACACACATATATATAAAACATGGGAAGACTTAGGATAAAATTACAAGACTTGGTACTATTCTCGCCATAAAAACATTTGTTGTTATTTCAACATCATACAAGCAGTATAGCAAGTGCATTCCAATCAGAGTTTAGCCCTCATACTGTCTGAGATGGATAGTATGTCCTTGTATTGTGTATAATGACTTCCTCCAGCAATCAAGAAACTAATATCATTTGAATCAGTTGCTCATGAGAAAATGCAAGAAGGCTAGGAGGAGTTAGGAACAAATGGTGATATTTTGTTAGAGCCACTAACTTGGGCTAGAATGATATCTGATTGGTTGTGAACAACTGTTAGAAAAGTTGATTAGAGTGCTGGGTGTATTTCTGTTTTATGTTTTGTATGAGATCTGTGTTTTATGAAGTATACAGAGTAAATATTTATTACTATTTTATTGAAGTGGGTAAATAGAGTTTTCTTGTTTCATAGGTCAAGAAATCAAAGCGAGAGCTCGAGAAATTTTTTTGCAAAGTTGTGAAATTAGTGAGAAAGCTGAAACGCTGGCTATGAAGTCCTTAATTATTAGATCAGAAAGCATTTTTAGAACTAAGGAGAAGTTCAGGCTTCTGAAGGACAGACTTTCATTCCTCTAAAAATTGTTATTTGGGGGAAATTGTAATGGTAAGTATGTAAGTATGTAAGTAATGTTCTTTGGTTTCATTGTTAATAGAGCTAGTTATTTTTAATATAGCTTTAAAATAAACAGTGTAGTCGAAGTGTATCAAAAAGCTGTAGGAAGAGTGACATAGTAAACTCTTGCAGTCCAGTAGAAGTTTATTTGTGTAACTGATTATGGAGTCTATTCCTATTTTATGTGAAAAATGACTTTTTTGGGTAGAAAACCAAAGCCAACCTTCATAGCGTCTGAAAATCCAAATTATCACCAGTTCTGAGTGATCTATGGTAAATTCTTTGATTTTGTATGTGTTCAGTCTGTTCTTTGCATCAATGTTTTATGGGTCCAGCTCATTAATATTATTTTTATTAATTTTGAATTCACACCCTAACTGGTCCTTATCGTCACTTAAGATTCTAGGCTGCCAAGACTCTGTTCCCACAAATAATAAAACATATGTTTAAGTTCTCAGTATGTGAGCGTTCTTGATGAACTGAATAGATTTTGGCATATTCTAAAAATTAAGCTTATTTGTACTATTTTGAAGGATGAGAGTGCTATAAAGTATGGCAATAAATGTATGCTCTCTGTTTAAAAAAAAAGGAAGGGAGGAGAGTTGTCCAAATCTAGAAAGCAAGTCAAGATCTCTCTTTTCTCACGCTCTTTCATCCCCTCACTTCTGATGATATCATGCTAAATAGCCTCTTCATTATGGGCAGACAGCTGTCATGTATATACCATTTAGGAGAATTGACTTTTGTTCCAGTTAGCTATATTCTTGTACTGCAAGTTGCAAGAAAGAGTGAGAGAACTCTTTTCCCACCTTCAGTATGTTGTAACTGATTATTACAATAACGGAACACTTTCTTCATTTCCTGATTTCTGGCATTGTGAATAATTTAGGCAGCTTCCTGTGTTTCTCATGAGAAGAAGTTGCATTGGCATGTGTGTATGGCAGTAATGATATTTTCGTACTTTGCTTTTTGTCACTAACATACATCAGAAATCGGTATCATTACTTCTTAGCAGATGGGAGAAATCAAGGAGCAAAAAAGTGATATGACATCTACAGACTAATGGAAGAGCTGGAAAGAGCTCTAGATTTTTAGTCTCAGTCAATGTTCTGTGTACTGGACCAGCTCTTTTTGCCCATGCGGTGTTGATTTATACTTTGTGAAGTTTTCTGGAGAAAGTTCACATCTGTGTTACGTGTAGATTGGTATGCTTTTGGGCAGTTAATGTGATTGCAGCATCATGAAGAAATATAGTTCTGTGTAGGATAAATCATATTTGTTTACTTGGCAAACAGTGCTTGCAAGAGCTATGTAGGATAGCATTGATTTGTATAATATAAATGCAGTGTTATGCATCTGATATGTTGTGGAAAAAGGAGTAAATGCTGCAGTACATAAAGCGTCATTTGAAATTCACATACTCCTAAATGCCTCTTAAACAAATCTGTATTAGGAAAGGTGTCGGTATATGTATATTTAATAACTTGTTTTACCCATATTTAAACTAGTGATAAAATGTAAGTGTAGCATTTTTTCTAGTTGCCTCTCTTTTCTTGCCTCCTCTTAAGATCTTCACATCCGTATTTTGCAGAAAATAAACTAACATTGTATAGCTTCTATTACAAATAAAAGACATGATAGGGAGAGGTGACTAGAAAATAGTTACTGAGCCTGAAAGGTGAGCCTGTCCTTAACTGGATAAACCCTTGCTACTGATAAGAAGTTGCTCATATAAATAGTTCTGTAGCGGACAGACTATTTCTAAGTAATTCTTTATTAATGGAAGTTGATACTTTATAGTCTATGATTTTTGTCCTTAATTCATAAAACAGTAACAACTAACAAACATGCGAACATTAAAGGGAAAATACAAAGTGGGCGAATTAAACAAAAAATAATTTGAAGGCATTATCCAGGGCTATTAGGTAATCTGTAAAATGATTTAGTATGAAACATCCAGTTCTGCAGCCTCTTGAGGAATCTCAAGACACTTGACTGGTAAAGGAAAAATCTTAATTTGGTCTGCTTTATAGTGTTGCCTTATTTATCTTTGCTCTCACTTTCTCATTTTTTTTATTCCTGTTAGTGCTGTGGCAGTAATGCTGCCATATGTTGTGAGATGAGCTCTCTTCTACCTTAAGTAGATTAGCAAAGGAATACAATGGCAGACAACTTTGCCTGCCTGTTGAGGGCCAATATTGTGCTGCAGGTGTCAGCCTAAACTCAAACTTGTTTTCCTTCTGCCTATTTCTGATAATTTCTCTTTCCTTCTATAAGGAAGTTTTGGGAAAACATTTTTATTATTTTGTAGAGCTGGACTTACTAATCAAAAGGACTATGAAGTGTCATTTTGCAGAGTGGTTTGTGACTGCTGATTAGAAGTGAAGCTCAAACTCGCTGGTAGTGAACTCTCAAGTTCTGCACGTATACACAGTAAAGATGATAATGTTCAGTGATAAAGTGGAAGTGAAGAGCATTGGCTAATCCTGCTAAGTTTGAAGGAAGAAACGTTAATTGGCAAATGTTTTGGGATGTGTTGAGTATTCAGTCAATTATATCTTAATTCTCCTTCCTTCCCTTCTATCTTTTTTTCATACTTTCTCTTTGGAGAATAATAATTTTAAAAGAGCAAAATTGTTTTCAGAAAATGGATTAGTAATTCATTCTTCCTTGTCAGTCCTATGCATGTGACATAAGGTAGATTTGTTCCAGTGCTGTGCAGTATTTATACATGGGGGTGTAGCTGGGGCTTACCTCCCACCTGAAGGAAGTTTCATCGGTCTATATTTGCAGATATTGTTTCTTCTGATTCTTTTTTTAAATCTTGTACACTGTAGAAAGTTTATATCTTTTGATTGTGCCCCTCTCTATTGTTTTACACTGAGATTTTCCCTGTTTGCTGCATAGAATTTGCGTTAGTGAATACTGCAACAGTTATAGTTACTATTATTTTGTGCAATGGGGAACATGTTATCTGCCAAATAGGAATATGTATTCACCTGTGTGTGGACACACAATCTCCCCCTGCCCCGCAAACTAAAACTTCCCAACAAAATTACCACCTGTACTGGGAAGCAGTAGAGGAAAATGCTACAATTCGAAACATTAAAAACAAAACAAAACACACAAAAAAAACCCCCCTGCAAAGCGTATGGTCTTGGATTATTCCTTTTATATCCAGATCAAACCTGCTGCAACCATAAATTCCATCCTCTGGCAAAACCAAACTCATAAGTTAGGAGATTAGAATGAAAGAAGTAGCTGATCTGAATGCAGATTGTGCAAATAGTGTGTTTATTGTAATGTTAAGTAACACGTAATACATTTACCAAGAATAATAAAACAGCTTTTTTTCCTAGCAGAATACTAAGCAGTTAAGTCTATAAAGCTGAAAGGACCCGAGATTCTACTGTATTTCAAACACTGCCCACTAACCTAATGGAAGCCTCTTGGATACACTGTATCTTAAGAATGATTGTATTAGGAGTAGCAGCAGATCTCAGTATTGGCCCGCTATGAATCCTTTTATCGGTGTGATGGCTCAGCTGATACTGAAGTGAAAAGGTAAAACACCCTGGCATGGATATGGCTAATTGTTCCATCTGTCACATGCAGAAAGAACAGACTGATATTAGTTGCTTTACTGTGATATGCAAGAAAAATTTACCTTTCTTCTCCTTTGTAACCTGATTGATATCTGCAATTGCAGAAAACTGCCATCCCTCTTAAAATTTAGCTGCTGTATTTGACTTAAACTTTTGCAAGACGGAAATTTCTGTGAAGACTTCATTGCCATTACATTCTTCTCTACTCTTGCTTATAACAAGCCTAATAAGGGAGTTGCTTCTCTGGTATTACTATAAGGAAGTCCAAAATGTAAAATAAACTCAGTGCATGGTAATGATTAACTTTCCCTCCCACATTTTGCTTGTCTGTGCATTATTAAATATGTTTTTACCTCTACAGACTTGTTAGTATGGAAAAGGTTTGGCGTGCAACTTTCAAATAGGGCAATAAACAGATGTTTCAGTTTCTAACCTGAAGAACAGGTTCTGCTTACATAAAAGGAACTCAACGTCTACCTGAGACTGTTACCACGCTTTGATTCCCTTTACCTCCTCCCACTTTGAACTTGTTACCCTGGAGCTGAACTGTTTGAAAAAGGATCGTAAGAGTTGCTTTGTGATCAGTGAGCTAAGAGCCATTAACATGTAAAGTGCAGGGGAGGAGCCTTCACCGTCAAATTTTGCACACCCCTCCTCCCCCCCTTTTTTTTTTTTGGTCATGCTTATGGCGCTCCCGATGTACCGTGCAAAGAAGCTAGGACGGATCGACTGCACTGTCCAGAGAGAAGAAACAAAGGTGTGTTTTTTTTTAATCTGCTACCTTCCTTTTCTGGAATCATTCTGGTGTACATTTAACACTTTTACTCACTCTTAGAAGTTAGGAATAAATTTTATAATGTGCTACCACAGGAATATACATAGCTTTATACTTGCAACAGAATTTGCTGATACTTTTGCTTCTATCTTTTCTAAGGAAGAGAGAATGGAAAGAGCATGATGTCTAATGCTTATTTTATTTTGGTCATGCTTTTTCTTGTTCAGGAAAACATGTACAACCTCGGAATCCTGTAAGCCCTTAATTTTTAGATCCTCTGAGCTTGTAGTGATCAAAGGAATCACATTTATGATATAACAGTTTAGACTTTTTTTCTAACTGGACAACTGCTTTCTTAACACAAGTCTATTGCGTTCTGAAATAACCTGAGCATTGAGGTTTTGCAGGTAAACTGTTAGCAAAAACTAAAACTGAGTTGAATAAGAGAGGTTGACTGTAAAGTAGAAATAAGATATTTAAATAAGGTACCAGTTAAAAATAAGTAAAATAACCTGGCTGATTCTGTGACTGAACAGTTAGTAAGTCTTGTTTGGAAGGAAAGGCAGACATGACCCTTTGAAAGCGTATTCATTGTATGTTTGTTTGTTTTTGTTTTGGGCTGTGGAAAAGGAATTTTCAGTTCTTTCCTGGCATAAAAATGTAGGTTAGGATTGCAAAGATATACTAAATGACAGGGATAGCTATATTGTGCTGCCTATACTTTAAATGCCTCAGGCTCCAGTGCTTAGATGTAGATCTTGAACATAGCCAAAATACTGAGGGCGATAAGTTCTAGGATCATGTTTTGTTTCATGGTAGAGATAGGTTCAACTGCTGAAAAATAAAATAGTTAGACGTAGAGTAAGATTTGCTGCCGTCTCTTGGAAGTTTTGGGTAGGAGATTTATGCCATTTTCAGAATCTAGGTCAAAGTTAAGTTATTTCTTTCTTGTTGTTCAAAAGAAAGTGGTCCAAGTTTTGTATATTAAAAGAGGCTTCCTGTTCTTACTGAGGAAGAAAACTAGCTGGGGAAAATTCTTTTTTACTTAGTAAGATTAGGGATGAAGAAACTATTTAGTACAGATTAAGGACAGGAATTTAATCTGTTATGAGGAAAAATCAGTGACTATTGATGAAATATACTGGTTATCTAAATGGAGGAAGAATTGCACAGAATCGTAGTTACTGTGTCCTCACTAAAACTGCATTCTAATGACCTCAATACTAGTGTGTGAAGAACAGATGAGTTAATGCTAACTCAGTTGTGAGCTCTTTGGTAGATGAGCTACTAGTTTTAGGTTGTGTTTCTGAGCGTCTCTGGTTGTCTCTATAGACCATGACTAGATATGGATACATTTGAGATTGCAGCCCAGTTACATGTGGGCTTTTATATTTTATTTAATAAGCTAAATATTTTACCAGATCCAAAAGGGGTATACAAAAGTGGTTGCAAATTCTTACATTTAATGATTATTTTGGGGAGATAAGCTCCTATAATGAGTCATGTTTTGGTCTTTTAGCCCAAAGAATCTGTGATTCTGATCACCTGACTAAGGTGTGGCTTCCTGTCTAAAGCTGGGGGAATTTCAGTCTGAGGTTTTTATTAGTATGTCTAATCATAATGTTAGCCCTGAAAGGTTACTTTTTCCTACTTGTTCTGGCAACTCGTGGACATTTTCACCTTATGGGATCACAAGTCTTCTAGGGCTACAGACTACATGGAGTTTTTAATTAATTCATATTTTGTCTTGGTAAGTAAATGTAACTTTTTAATGGAATGTCTTGTGAGTAAACTTATGTGAAACCTATTAAATTCATGTCCTCCAGACCACTGTACGATTTTCATTCTTTGCTTTTGGTTTATTTTTGTTTTAGCTTTGAAAACATGATAAATACTCATGGCCAAACTCTTTTTCTGTTATCTGAAAAGGCTGCTGTTTTCTTCTTATGTGACATTCATCATTTTTGTAGACAATACTGAATTAAAGGCTACTCCATATTCATCCTAAAGAATCTGGGAGAGCGTCTAAGTGAATATTACTGCTAGAAGTCCTTCCCTCTGTGAGAGAGCTTGTTGATAAAATCCACAAATTGTAAAGAGCTGAAGAGGTGAAAGACTGAAATTCTTTTTGTAAAAGGATCTTTCTTCTCTTTTCTAGGAATAAAGGACATTGAGAGTATGGTTCTTTAAGTTCTGTATTCACAGTTTCAGAACTTCACAAAGGTACTTGTCTTCCAGTTTAATAAGAGATCATAATATTTCTTGCCTGCAGTATTTACTTTGTTTTAAAATAAAATGTTCAAAGCACTCTGTTCCTGAATATAATTCAAAGGGGGCAACTTTTTGTGAATGCCACTGGACTTTGTTCTTGTTAGTCCTGTTAATTCACCCAGAGCTAAGAAAATGACTGTATGAGTATTTCTCAGTACTGATAGAAATAGAAATGTTAACTGAATGAGACTGCTGTTAAGCACTGACATGATTTTCTAGCTTGTTGACAGCAGATGGTACTTTATTCAGCAGCATCTTGCTTCCTTTCACTCTTTTCTGTTATGGAAAGCCTCACCCAAACACCCTTTATCCAAAGGAAGGGTACGTTGCACTTGGAAGCATAACAAAATGTATTTTGATGTGGAAAGTATAACCCTCCTTGAGCAAAATGAAATAGCTCTTTATGGCCTTTGTGGAATAGATATATAATTTCAGGATTTTAAAAGCAAAACTGCTCTTTGCAGTCTTAACTGCCGCATAAATTAAACAAAGAGGGAGTTCAGTTCCTTTGTAAGACTGGTTTAAATACAAGGCCTCCTTCTGTCTATATGTCAACTTTCCCTCCCCTTTCTCGCATTTTAAAGAAAAACGGAAAGCTAGTAATTTTAAAATGGAAAACACCAATTCCCAAAGAGATCTCATAAACTATAAAACCTACTCAAAGCAGAGCTTTGATCCTTGAAATGAAATGTCAGAAACTACATGAAATCTGCTGGGAACTTTGTGGATTGCATGCAACAGCATACTAGCATTAAGTGTACAGTATGTTGATTGTGTTGGAGTACTGCTGATGAATAGCAGAATAATACTGTAAAGGTAGACTTTTATTTTCTGTGCAGTTTTATTTCTTATGTCTTTAAATCATGTTATTGTAGATCACAGAAGTAAGGTTTGAGGTATTTTCCTAAATGAAACCTGAGATTCTGATACAATTTGACTTCAGGTGCTGGGCATTATACACCAAGAAATTTGCAAAATCAAGGCATTGCCCTTGATAAAAAATCCATTAATGCTCTAAATTAGAGAACAGTTTAGTGCTGTGATAAATCAAAGTTTTATATGGCTCATCTGTGCTAATGGTGGAGTATCCCCTTAACAGGCCTAAACACAGATGCTTAATCTTCTTAATTAAAACTGGTTCTAGGAGTAAGCGCTATCCAAAGTTGGATCAAAATGTAAATAATGTAAGGCCATGTATGTTGCAACATGGATATATTTCTTACGTATTTTTAAAAACTTTGCTTTATATATGTTTTTGTGTTTTCTGTATTGATTTACAGATTTAAGCTAAGGCAGTAGCAGTCAACTGTCTATTGGTAAGAGTGTTAACACAAAGATTTGCCTGACTATATTGTTTAAAATGTTCTTTCTTTGAATTTTGGGGTATTTTTGTTAAGCTGGTGCATTTTGTCTTTGGCCTGTATCTGTAAATAAATGGAAGAAGTGATGTCATGACATGTACTAGTAGTCTGTTGACTTCTTCCAGTAAGATGATGCCCGCTGTGAGCGCAAAAGGCCTACACACAGCATAAGTATTATGTTTCAGTGGCAAAATTAATTGGGGCACAGGCTTTTTGCTTTGTTCTACATAGAGAATGAACTTTGCCCCTGTGCACTTTGTTTCCAAAGGTAAAATCAAGCACCATTGTTGCATTCTTGTAATGATTCAGGCAGTTGTTGTAACAGAAGTCATCTGCTTTTCCTGGGTATCTGTATGTTTATCAACAGTCACCTAACTACATAAAAAGAAAACCTCACCCCAAATTCTAATTGCATCATTTGCCCCTCCCTCTCAAAAAGATCTTTTTTTTTTTAAGAAAATGATTGAAGTATGGGAGTTTGTTATACAGTAATGATATAATTTTGCAGCAATATAGATGATAACAGTTTGTTCTTTCTATAGTGAAGCTAGACATAATAAATAGCTATTTGGGGAAGTGGAAAACCCTCTATTTAAAGTACAGGATCATCTGATTCAAACTCATTTGTATTCCAGTGATGAAAAAAATTGAGTTAAAAATGTACTAAGCTTCAAATTTTGTCAAGTTTATATAATGCTATGTAAACAGTTCCCTCCCCCCCCCCCCCCCTCTTTATAAAGCATTATAATTTAGATCCGGCAAAGTTTTTGTGTGTAGTAGGTAATGACCTCTTTTGCCATTTGACTATATAGTCTTTGGGTCAAGTTTATTGAGACGGATGTACAGTCTACTTCTGTGAGCAAATGCCCATTGTATTTAAACAACACAAAATATTTTCAGGAGGGCAATCTTAACCAAAGAAATGAAAGACAAATATTAGGGTTAAAAGATGATGTGTTGATGGTATAGATGATTAAGGATTTGTAAAAGGAGATAAGCAAAAAAGGGAGAATCTGCCTGTCAGGTTTTTTTCCCTGTAGTCTTTAGTTACAGCATTTCTCAGGTGAACGATCGTATTTTTTCAGTGATCTGGGCTGATATGTATGCAGCAGGGGTCTGTTCTGCATTTGTTATTTATAAAAAGACTGATTGCTTCCCTTGATAGGTTTAAATTAATCTGGTCTTGCTGTTGAAATATTTCTTCCAATGTTCAGCCTGAATTTCCTTTGATTTAATTCCACTGTCTTGGCCCTATTTGTGATTTTATCTCTGCTCCCATTGAAACCAGTGGCCTCACTATATGACAGCAAGCCTTCCTGTATGTCTCTTATATTGCTGTGAATGTTTCTTAATGGCATGTGTGAAATTGGTAGTAGGTACAGACCTTGTGTTTATTGTCAGATGACACTGAAGAAAAGGCCTGTATAACATGAATAGTGAGCCAAATCTGCTTCCAGAAGGACAGCTATTCTCTCTCACTGGCCCTTGAACCAAGTATAGTGTGTGTGGCCCCTTTGTAGATCTCAGCCCAGTGTTTGCTGCAAGTTATTACAAGATTCTGGACTTTCAGGTTGCTGCTTAGAACTCAGACCTTAAATCTATAGGCAATTTCCAAACCTTTTCTTTGTGTAATCTGCCTTTTTTTTTTTTCTGGGAGGGTGCTTGCCTTCAGTACATATAGAGTAAAGTCATTGGATAGGTATCTGCAAAACTGCAGGCTGTGACAATTCTTTACTCATGCTTAGACAAAGTTCTGTCTTTTCTTGCTGATTTTCTGTACATTGCTGTGTGGCAGCCTGCACGTGAGTCCATGAGCATTATTAACAGAAATTTTGAGTGCAGATGTCAAAGTAAGCAGGGCTAATGCTTCAGTGTTTTTGAGATGTGCTGCAGGAGGCATACTGGCTACCAAAAGAATAGTAACAGCTGCAGTCCACACTTGCAAAATTCTTTGGTTTTCAAATAAGAATTGACTGAAAATCTTGAAAAGTGTTCACTTATGAGAAAATGTAGGATAAGATTCTGGGTTAGGAGATAATGTTTCAGGCTGTTTATCATGAACGTTTCCCCAGATACAAGATGGCCACAATAAAATAAATTTTTTGAGCGAAGCGCTTCGGGCTCTATTGAGAAGAGCTATGTAAGAACTCAGTGTTGTGTTGCTAAGTCTCTAATTGGTTGAAACTAGCTTGCAGGCCCTTGGATCTCATTTGTTCATAGCTCTCCTTGCAGGACTAGGTACTATAAAATAACTTAAAAAGAGCTTTCCACTGCCTCTTCTCCCCTTCAAATCCCCAGGCTCCCTGTTCTTCAACCTTGTTATTCCAGATTTCCCAGTGTCTTCTCTTACAGTAGCAAAATCAAGTGCAGAATGATGCACTTAATAGTTTTATTGTCTCCTCCTGTCTATAGTGTCCCATCCTACTTCTTCTCATCCTAAAAGTTTAGAGAGTTACTGAATGAGATAAGAGGTTACTGGAGTCATCTTATTTAGACTAATAAAGTACTAAAGTTCATGATGAGGCCATGAACTAGGCAGAGCTGTACTTGGACGTTTATTTGATCAGGCTATAAAAGCTTGCTACCCTGTGACAAATTCATTAGTGTTTGTGGATGTTGCTTCCCTCTATTGGACAAAATGAGAATGGATCAAATGAGTCCTAGACCATTTTCTGCTAATAGGAAAGGAGATTGAATAGCCAGGAAGTTGAATGCTTGGCAAAAAAAAAAAAACTGCCTTTACTCCTTTTTGCCAGGTGTGACCATGTTTTTCTCGTAGTTTAAAAATGTAATAGTCGCTTTTACGAGCTTATTTTCTGTCTAATAGGAGGATGGTACAAAGAAAGAACAGCTTGAAAAGAGAGCATGTTTTTGCTTCTGTTCGGATTCTTTATTACGGTAAATGAAAATGTTGCCAACTGTGCAAGTCCTAATGAAGCCCTTTGTCCAGCCTTAGCTTCAATATGATGACTTACTGAGTTTTCAAAAGAAGTCTGAAAGATAATCTGTAGAGAAGATGGCTTTAGGAGAATGCACACAGAGCAGTAGTCTATCACCAGCTCCTTTCCAGGTGTCTTTGTTGGAAATGAAGTTTGAATCGCAAATCATGCGTTTGTTATGGAAGGAGGTTAAATATAGATCCTTTTTTAATCTTAACAAACAGCAGTATGTGGCCTTAATGACAATGCAAATAGATTACATCTGAGATATTCAAAGGAGCCTGTACTACACAACATTAAATTGAAGAGGAAGCTGGGCATCTACACTTACTTTAAATCTGTGGTCTGAAATCTTCAAAGCAATCGAAGTATTAAGAGAGCTGGAGAGTGTCTCTTAAAATGGATTTGAAACCCCACAGTCCTTCCAAAGCATCTCTTCTTTCTTCTGTGCTTGGAATTGATATTCCATGCTTTCTGTGCATCACTGTTCTCCCTGTCACTGGAGGTCGCTTTAGTATTTCTGTGTCCTGCCATTATCTGTCTCTAGTTTTGAAGTCTCTCATGTCTGAACTTTGACTCCTGAAAGCCTTACACAAAATAGATGTTCAGAAGTAGTACAGAGTGGTAGAGCACTTGCACAGTGTTATAAACA